TATATATATACATACATACATACATACATACATACATACATACACCCGTATAAAATAATACTTTAGTTTTTTTCTGTTGAAGTGGGAAATGTGTGATCCTCTTTTCAAACCCATATTTTCAGGCTGGGCCGGTAGACGAGGTGTGTATCTTCAGAGATGGGCCGCAGGCTTCATATGGATGTGTTTATTATAAGCACGCTGAAGCCGTTCCCTACGCTGTGGAACTTCTCAATGGAATCTGGCTCTACGGGCAGCCCGTCAAGTTACAGCGTAAAACCGGTGGGTAACGTCTAAAACAGGTGATGACTTGAAGGTGGACACGTTATGTTGAACGTCCACAGTGACCGAACGCTTGTGCTGTGCTGTTTCTAGATGGACATTATCATAGAAATGAGGCGTGTGCGTACCACACGGGGACAGGACTGATAGCAGACAGGTGTGTCCCGTTACAAACACACTCCACCGCTTCTGTTGATGGGGATTATAGTAATAATATGAGCCCAAACGACAGACTGCAAGTATGTGCTTCATCGCTGATGGGAAAATACATCATTCTGAGTGTGTAGTATGTTAGAGAGCCTATACTCCGATATCAAAAGATGTGTCTGGCTTCCCCGGAGTACCTAAAATCATTACTTTAAGTAAAGTATTCAACCATCTCAAGACTCTCCTCTTCTGTTGCTTTCTGGGTAATATTTGCTCGAAGCATGAACAGATGAACTCTTCATTATATATATGATTTGGCACATACTAATTATAATATTGCAGACTATTTAGAACAGATAGCATGATTTGGACAGTCTTCCCTTGATCTGGATGGTTTCATAGTGCTTTCTCCTGAGGATTTGATCAGATTCAGTTTATGCACGCGCTCTACTGGTTTGGGCTCGGTAAGATTTTGAAAGGAATTAATACTTTTATTCAGTAAGTCACATTTACGTAAGTTTAAATTGGTACAAAAGATTCTATTTCAAATAAATGCTGTTATTTTGAACTTTCTATTCATCAAAGAATCCTGAAAAATAAAATGTATGACGGTTTCCATAAAAATATTGTGCAGCACATCTGTGTTCAACATTGATAATAATCAGAAATGTTTGTTGAGCAGCAAATCAGCATATTATAATGATTTCTGAAGATCATGTGACACTGAAGACTGGAGTAAATAGATAATTTCTTGTCCTGCATAATAGGTACCCAGGACGGTCTAATACAGCTCCAGGTGTTGTGTGTGTGTGTGTGTGTGTGTCAGGTGTACAGCAGACGTCTGCAGGTGTGTCCTCCAGCTGTGTGGCTCTGTCCTCCTCTCCAGCTGTGTCCAAGCTCTGCTCACTCGTCTGGGACGTCTCTCCACAGGTCCGCCAGCAGCGGCGTGGGCTGTGCAAGTGTACGTTTACAGACTAAACACTAAATGCAATGCTATCTGTGTACATCTTAATTTATTGGCTCAGATTGAATATAAACTCCGGATATGCGTTTTGTTTTCAGAGACCGCTGTATGGAGGGCGCTGTTCGAGCATCCTGACCCCGTATGCTCCAGTGAGCGCTTTTATCAGCTCTGATTCACACGGTCCGCTGTAGACCAGTCATATCTGTGCATGCTCTAATAAAGCCGTCTGAATGCACCCTACTGTCTCTGGAAGTATTGAAGCGCAGATCCGATGATCTGAAATGTTTGTTTGCGACTTCATCTCGTGCAGAATCAGCTCAGGTGATTAGAACCTCAATAACTAAATGATTGATTGATGCAATTATCATCTACAGTGATGTTTTATAGGGGGATAAAAGCTTAACGACACAAAATGTCACATTTATGTTGGATGATAATTTCTAACATCAAGCGTTCACTCTTATTACCTGGAATAGCCTACAACCAAAGCCTCTCCCTCTCTTGAACTAGTATGATAAGATGCAATAACTATTAACTTCAGACTTTAGAGTTAATTAAAGGAATTCACTGAGTACTAGAGTATTTCAGTTAGTGCTGGTGTATAAAAATGTTTTATTTCAAATAAACGCTGAACTTTCTATTCATCTGTTTCCACAAAGATATTGTGCAGCACGACTGTTTTCAACATTGATAATAATCAGAAATGTTTCTTGAGCAGCAGCTTTGATCACAGAAATACATTACAGTTTAACAGAGATTCACATAGAAAACAGCTGATTTAAATTCTAATATTTCACAATTTTTACTGTATTTTTGATCAAATAAATGCAGCCTTGATGAGCAGAAGAGACTCTTTCAGAAACCAACCCCAAACTTTTGAATGGTATTATTTTTGTAAGAGAGCGAGATATTTAGCATGTTGTAATGTCATGCGTTTTCATTGTTTTTAATTGTGTGACTTTTATTTTGATTTCCCGTCATTGTTTCCCCTGCAGTGCAGATGCTGTGCGCCGGGATGATGTGGTATTGAGTTTAAATGGCAGTCCAGTGGAGATCCCTTCTAATGAAGCATACAGCTGGAGTGACATGGTAACATACTCAGAGAAAATAGAATAATAATAACAATAAAAAAATGACAAAATAACAAATACAACTTCAGACTTTAGAGTTAATTAAAGGAATTCACTGAGTACTAGAGTATTTCAGTTAGTGCTGGTGTATAAAAATGTTTTATTTCAAATAAACGCTGAACTTTCTATTCATCTGTTTCCACAAAGATATTGTGCAGCACGACTGTTTTCAACATTGATAATAATCAGAAATGTTTCTTGAGCAGCAAATCAGCATATTATACTGATTTCTGAAGATCATGTGACACTGAAGACTGGAGTAATGATGCTGAAAATACAGCTGCGCATCACAGGAATACATTACAGTTTAATACATATTCACAGAAAACAGCTGTTTTAAATTCTAATATTTTAAATTTTTTTACTGTATTTTTAAACAAACAAATGCAGCCCTGGTGAGCAGGAGAGGCTTTTTTCAGAAACATTAAATCATATTAAAGACCCAAACTTTTGAATAGCAGTGAGCATATTGAGCATAGTTTATGTCTCACAATTCTGAATTGAGAGAAAAAGTCGCAATAACCTTTTTTTATTTTTTATTCAGTGGCGGAAACGGACTTCCATACTATGCTGCTCTCTCGCCCGAAAAGTAAGCACAGGTTATTTAAAACCATTTTTGCAAATGTGGTATTTTCCTTTCCTTCTTTTTTAAAAATTGTATTTACATTTTTATTTTAAAGGGATAGCCTACTATTGACAGCATCTGCTCATTTGTCACTTTTACAGTTTCTCCAGCTTACAAATATATTCAGTAAACACGAATAACGCGTTTCTCAAGTGACAAGCTCTTCAAAATAATCTCTTTAACAGTTTCAGCACGAAAGAGAAGGGCTTGATGGTCACTCCTGAAAGAACACACAACACTCGTATGATAACAAAAAATATTTAGTTCAACAGGAGCTATTCTCAATCCATTTAGCCCAGAAATCAACACGCATCTTTCTGAATGTCATTTTCTTCATAGTAAATATACTTGTTAAAACATCAATCCAATCCTGTGTTTGAGAGTTAGGTTTAAAAAAAATGTTTGTGTTTTTTTTTTTTTGGAACATAATAAAATATAACCAATATATATATATTTTATATTAAGAAATTCTATTAATGCTGTAACATTTTTTATTTTAATTAAAAAAATTAATAAAAAATGAACATTTCTTGATATTTGGTCCGCCTTTGCATTTTTATTATTAAATTGGTGCATTCTTAATTATCTATATTGCAATCTGAAATATCTTTTATTAGTTGTACTTTATTTGCATTTATTGATTTTTTTTTTTTTTAAAATCCAACAGAATATTTTTTTCCAGGTTTAAGTTCTATACTGAATGCGCATTTTTTATCAGACTTTTGAGAATATAGTATTTTTATTATTAGCATCCAGAGCTGCTCGATGCGGGAATAAGTGTGCTGCTTCTTCTGAAGGATCTGGGAAAAGCACCGCTGGTGGGATTCTTTGACTTGTGTTGAAAAAGCCGCTGTAAACCGTGACGCGTTTTTCTCTAATAATCTTTACTCTGCTCTTCTCTTGAAAATCTCTCCAGTACAAATACCAGGTGAATGTGGACGGGACGGTAGCGGCCTACAGGTTTCCGTGCGACAGCTTGGTCTTCAAGCAGGATTCGCCTACTACGAGCACTTTTACATAAATGAGATCAAACAAATAGGCTACAAATTAGCCACCAATTCGCCAAAATGTAAAATAGTTACAAATTGCCGTGAGCTTGTGATGTCATGTATTCTAGAACACCGCGAACTGTCGTTCATTACACGAGGATTTTTTTATAAACTCTTAAGAACTCTGATTTTCTGTCGTGATTTGGACACAACGTATTGGTTTTTTTTAATGTATGCATTAAAGGGATATAAAAAAAATGAAATAAAAAGAATTGCTCAACATCAGGCCATCCAAGACGCAGATGAGTTTCTTCATCAGAACAGATCTGGAGAAATGTAGCATTGCATCACTTGCTCACCAATGGACCCTCTGCAGTGAATGGGTGCCGTCAGAAGATCGAAATGTATAATTACAAGAAATAAAGAATTGTGCCACAAGGGGCCTCCATGAACAGGACTCAGTCAGTTGTTTACTTTAGAATGCGTCCCTTTCAACACAAAAACACCGGAATTCACCCTTTGTGAAAATCAGATTTGATTTTGATTTTTGTTTTCTAAGGAAGTTGCAAGACCAGCTCCTGTCTGCTTGAATGGAGAAATGCTGAAATTTCATGATCCACCCGAGGACACCATATTTTTTTTCAGTTGTCTGAATCGAGAGCTGTGCATGTAAAAAAAAAAAAAAATCCAGCAGCATTTTATTTCCTGGTCGCCAAGAGATGAAAAAGCCACAGTGGAGGAGAAAGCAAACGCACATCTCAACCGGTATATTCTTGATTTGACTCATTAAACTCACACATGCTCAAACATTCACACACAAAAAAAGCAAAACGATTAATGGGTATAAAGGAAAGTGTGTATTGCAATTCAGTGCTTCTGTAACACAACCTCTAACATAAACCAACTGACTGCAGGGGAGAAATGTTTCCTAGCTCATAAATATAATGACGACAGTATGAGTATGGGATTGTAGTCTTGAGTCCAGACAGGACCACTTCATTCTCCTCTCTGAACAAGCCGCTTCTTGATGGTGGAGCAGATTTAGCCTTTCAGAGAAGACATGCCGGCTCTCATGATCTCATCCACCAGGAGGATGTTACTGGCGATGACAGTGCTGCGCAGACGAGAGAGAGAAACAGATTAGGTCGATGAAACCGGAGATGAAAACACACTAACATAGGAACAGAGTGGCACTAGATATTGAGGAAAAAGAAAATCTTGATTATTTTTGGGATGATTTTGCGGAGCGTGTTTTTGTGCTGGTATCTTTGCTGGTTTTGGCCTTTCATGAATAAATATGACACTAAAGGCGCCACTAGGTGGCAGCAAAACCTTAAAGAGTGATTCATTGAATCATTTATTCAAATAATTTGCTCAGAACAGCCGATTCATTTAGAAACAAAGCAAGAATCGTCTTCATGAATGGATTGATTCATTCAAAAACAGATTTAGGAACAAAACACTGCAGTGTTGCTCTGAGACGCACAAATGTTCTGCTCCGGCTTTGTTTGGAACTGTTTTCATTGGCGAAACATTGTGTCTAAAATATTCACTTTGTTTGTTGAACTGCTGTATAAAATCAGTATCACATTCACACTCGCGTGCTGATATTCAGGAAAACAGCACTCTTGCTTGTGTGATTTTACTAAACTATATCATATCTTATAAATATAAATAAAAACTCAAAGGGACATTTTCTGACTCTTTGTTATTGTCGTCTTGCATTATTGACAAACTATTTTCCTGTTTGACACTGTAAAGCTGCTTTGACAATCAGTATCGTATAAAGCGCAATACAAATAAAGGTGAGTTGACATTCTAATCACACAGTCGATGCTTTTGGACTCTAAAGATGTGTTTTAGTTTGTTTTTTGCATATACTTACACAATGTCAGCTTGCACATTGTTAAAACAACAGTTACGATATTATCAGATGATAGTAGTTTTTAATCTAATTTAGACTGTATAATTTCGAAATCTGAAGCAAAAACAGAATGGTCTGACTTTAGTTTTGTGAAACTATACTACATAAAATATCTGCAGAAGCTCTGAATGAGACTCAGATTCACTCTCTGCCAGCAGGGGGCGCTTATGAACAGCAATGATACAGTGTTTCCTGGGTTACCGCTGTAAACAAAGCAGAGCTGCGCTTATGAACGCTACTTTAATATGCATCGTTTAGAGGCAAGATGAAAATAAAATACCACGTAAACTTTTCTAAAGATAGTCAGTTCTCCTCAGAGATACAGTCATATAAACTCCTACTCCAATTGTATCGCGATTTGTTTAGCATCTCAACCGATTTGAATCGTCACATATTTGAATAGATTTTCGACCGGCTCGCGGTTAATCGTTACATCCCTAGTGATCATCAGTGGCGTGTTGGTCAGTCATGTGATCTGCTGGAACAGTGGAGTTTGACTCACCAGGAATGAAGCAGCTGCTTTTTCACACTGTAGTTATCCCACACACCGGCCTCTCCTGCAATCATAGG